TTCCCTTCCCCAACACACACAAGTTAAAACAGCCTTTTTAAAAATCATTACCTCTTAAAATTGAATAGATAATCAAGAACCAACAGATATATGAGGAAAATCTCAGGAAGTTTAGAGTTCCAAACAAAACAGTCAATATAGAGAAGAAAGTCTTAACAAACAAAAATCTCTCATAGCCTCAAAGAGCATCCATGAAATGGGAACATGATAATATTAAAATATAAGAAAGAGAAAAGCAGTCGTAAAACAAGTACAAAGTCTTGAAAATTAAAAACAGTAATTACAAAAGATTCTTCATGGAAGATTTGAAAGGTAAAGTTGACGATCTCTCCCAGAGAGAAAAGGAGATGGGAAATAGAAAAGAGAAAATAGAATTTGAGGATGAACTCAAGAAACTTGATATCCCATTTATAGTAATTCTAGAACAAGAAATGAAAATTTTTTCCCCCAGAAATTAAGGCAGTGAGTTGCCAGAATGAAAGTCTTCCCCAGTGCCCTGGTACAATGAATACAAAAAGACCTAAACCAGGAACAACAGTGATAGAAAAAGGGAGGATCCTAAAAGCTTCTGGAGAGAAAAATCAGGCCACATAGAAAGGGCTAAGAATCAGAATGACATCAAGGTAGAATACAATAGAATAACCAACCCCTTCAAATACTGAGAGAACACTGTTTCCTAGCCAAAATATCAATCAAATGTGAGACTAGAATAAAGACACTTTCATCCTAGGTCTCATAACGTTTATCTATACTTTCTCAAGAAAAAACTAGATGACATTTGCCACAAAAGTGAAGGAGAAAGTGTCACAAAAAATAAGACATGATATCCATGAAATGGGATCCGACTAAAGAAAGAAGCAAAAGATCTCCAGGTTTATGGTGAAGGGAAACCCCAGGAAGAGAGTCGTGTGGCAGGCCTAGAGTACAACCATTGGGGTAGAGGAACAGAGGGAAGACTTCAAAAACAATTGGAATGGATAGATTACCAGATACATTTGACCATATGAGAGTAGGTTTTTCAGTACTAATAGTTTGGAGATTAATTTAATAACATGTACTTAGAAAACTAAAATTTTAAAACAGGCAATTTCAGGAAAGGCAACAACTCACATGAAAAAGTATAATTTTTGTTGCACCTATGTGGCTTATTTGCAAATATTTATATAATCATAATGATGAAAAACAACTTAAAATTATGATAAAACACTATTGGGAATATGAGGTGAGTGGTGGGAAACATAAGAGTTAAATCCTCATTATAGTCAAAAGATAATAATGTATAAAATTGATAAATCAAAAACTAATAGTAAATGCATGTCATTTAGAAAAGAAATATAAATATTGGAAAAAACTACTGAAGAGTTTGAAATAGTTGCTTTTGAATTGGGAGAACTGAGTTGGGATGAAGCAGGGGATCTCTGGTTTTATTTTTAAGCCTCATGGTTTTATTGACTTTTAAAGACTGTAATTTCATAAAAGTTAATATGAAATTTATCTAAAGTTAAATAGTATTATTCTAGAACAAGTAAATGAAAAGTGGCTATGATAAAATAAGCTTTCCAATTCAATATGGCAGAAAGAATGCACATTATGCAGAAAAGAGTTAACACAGTAGACCTGACTGCTATCCTCTGAAATGCATACATACAAGGTTGGCCCATGGCTGGCGTCTGGGAACTTGGACTTCAGAAAGATTTTCACCACTCTAACTGATAAGAGAGGCTCACTGTGCCTGAACTACTTGTGCAAACAATATGGTTTATGCTGAACACCTGCTTTCCTTCTGGAAGGGTAGAATTTGCGTACATGCTAGGCAGAGGGTGCCTATTTTATCAGCCCACAATAAAAAACCCCAAACACACTTTCTAATAAGCTTCTGCAGCAGACAACATTTGGCTTGTGTTGTTACAACTCATTGCTACGGGAATTAAGAGTGTCCTGTATGATGCCACTGGGAGAGGAGGACTCATGGAAGCTTGGGCCTGGTGTCCTCCAGACTTCATTCCATGTGCCTTTTCACTTTGCTGATTTTGCTCTGTCTTCTTTCATTGTAATAAATCGTAGCCATAAAAATGGCTGAATGCTGAATCCTGTGATTCCTTCTAGAGAATCATTGAATTTGGGAGTGATCTTGAGGACCCCCGACACACACTTTACTCCAAATATCCCATTAAAATAATAGTGTAATTACAGGATATGTGCTTGCAAGCAACAAAACTAAAACCTATCTGTCTCAGGCAAAAAGAGAATTTATTGGCAGGGTTTAAGGAGTGCTCACAAATTGACAAGAAACTGGAGGAGCAAGCTACAAATCAAATATAATCTAGCCAGGTCATTGCCACCAGTGCCTATACTGTAAATAGTATCTTAACTTTTTTCCTGTTAGTTGCTAGTATTGGAAATACAATTTATTATTGCATATTCATCTTTTAGCCAACTTGATAAACTTGCTTATTTCTAATAGTTTCATAGTTCTTAAGGGTTTATTCTGTAGATAATTATATTATCTGTAAATAATAGTTTTGATCTTCCATTTTCAAACATGAGACCCTTCCTTCCTTCTTTCTTTCCTTCCTTCTTCCTTTCTTTCCTTCCTTTCTTTCTTTCCTTCCTTCCTTTCGTTCTTCTTTCCTTCCCTCCTTTCCTTCTGCCCTCCCTTCTTTTCTTTCTTT